TCATTTTTATTTTTAATTATAATTTTTACTTTAAATTTTTTAACTTTACAAGTTAAATTTAGTCGCATACTAACAACTCGTTGAACCGCGATTCAAATTACTTTTTGAGACAGATTCTTCTTTTTGAAATAGACGATAATGTAGCTACAATAAAATAAAAAAAAATTATTTTATTAAAACTTTTTTAATAACAAAATTTTAATGTCATTAATAAATCCGACATAAATGTCAGGGTAACAACATCAGTTTTTGCCATGTCTAATAACATCTGTCCAACAATATGTCTAATAACATCTGTCCAACAACATTTGTAAATATAATGAGGTATTATAATATTTGTCCAACAACATCTGAAGTTTCGTTAATGCCTAACAACATCTGAGAAAAAATTAAATGAAATACAGATATAGTTACATCTTTTAAAATATCTAAGTGTAATAACATCTGTGCAACAACATCTTTGGATTTTACAGATGTGGTTACATCTTTTAAATAATCAATGTGTAATAACATCTGTGCAACTACATTTTCAGATTTTAAGAAGATTTTATTTTTAAGATCAATCAACTACTAATGCATTATTTTAACCAGATGTTATTACATATAGAAATTTTTACAGATTTAAATACATCTGGAAAAAATTCTTCCAAATGTTATTGGACTTGGAGAAAAATTACCAGATGTAGTTACATCTTTCTAAAGATGTTGTTAGGGGTCGTTTAATTTTCAAATGATATTAGACAGTTGTTATAAGAGTAAAAGTAAAGTACAGATGATCTTGAACAAAAGTGTACAGATGATCTCGGACTACTCCACAGATGTTGTTGGACAGATGTAGTAATTTTTTACCCAACATAATGTCAAATTTGTGAACTAATAATAAATCTGATATAATATGTTGGGTTTATGAACTAATAGTAAATCCGACATATGTCGGATTTATAAACTAATAAAAAAATAAGTTAAATGATTACAATTATTGCAACATAAGATTATAATTCTTTTACAAACACGACGTAAGAAGTTTGCCGGAAATTTTGTTCTTACAGTTATTTTGATAAGAAAAAAACAAACAAACAACTAATTAACATACTTTCCCCTAAGGTGTCATCCATAGATTGCGTCGTGCTTTAGGGAGGAGAAGGTGGAATCGTACTTGTTAACAAGGACTCGTACTTGTTACTAAAGAGTTAAGAAGTTGTAACGAGGGGGGAAGGGAGAGGTAAAAAATGGTAAAAAATTCCGTGACGTAATTTATGGACAACCCCTTATTGTATAGCGGCCTGATAAACCTACAAAATTTGTAATTGAAACAGATCGAAATGAAAATAACATAAAAATGATCAATGCAAACCATCATAAAACTTTATTTCTAATGTTTATGCCACAAAAACTCATTTGCAAAAAAAGTGCACGACTCAAGAATCAACAAAATTAAAAAATTTTACCAGACTATCTTTAATATTTTAATTGAACTTTTCACAAAATGTTTATTCAAATAATTTGATGATCGAATATTCAAATAACACATCAAACCACTTAGATACCAGGAATCTCCAGTAAAACTAACTGGGTTAGAAGTAGATAAAAAAATTGAAACCGAATGAAATGAAGATAAAAAATAAAAACTGGTTTAATAGTGAATCAAGAATTTAAACCAAGTTAAGAGTAGATCAAGAAATTTAACCGTTAGATAGAAAATCTAAATCTGGCTAGAACTAGATAGAGAAACCAATAAAGTTAGCATTGCAATGTATTATTTTTTATTAATACAAGACGCACAACGACATAACACGCATAACAACAACAACAACAACGAAAAATAACTTTTTAGAGGTAGAAGTTGAATAGAGTTACAAAAAAGCCGCCATATCGAAACTTTTACAATTATTTGAGAATGACTTTGCAGATTTCAAAGTTTAAAATAATAAAACTTTTTATCAACTATTCCTTATATCAGAATGAATATATCAGCAATTAAACACCAAATTAATAATCATAGACAGGGTCAAACACAAATACAAATACTTTGATTTCAGATTTCCAAATACTAATTCAAGTACAAATATATGTAATTGGCATTTTCCAAATACAAATATTTGTAAATTAGTTTTGAAAAAATACATAGATTTGTTTTAATACAATATTGATAAAATGGTTTGCTAAATAGAAGAATGAAAAAAAGTCTTTTATAAATATCAATTTAAATTTAAAACATAAAAAATTATCCTTTAAAAACTAAATTTTAACTTATTTTAGTGTTTAAAAAAAAGAGAAAAAAAAAACAAATATCTTAGATTTTTCCCAAATAAACACCAGTCAACCTTGTTTACGGTTGGATTTTTTGGGGAAAAACACTGTAAAAAATACATTTCAATCAAATGCAAATAAAAATTTTTAAGAAATTTTTAAATCAAATGCAATACGAATACAAATACGCCAATTTACCCTATAACTACCAAATAAAAATAGAACTTCAAATAAAAATACATATTTGATTCCAACCCTGATTATAGAAATTAATAATCACACAAGATTAAAAAATAAACTGGTAGAGCGATTGGTGACAGACATGATCAAAAGCTCTCTGTCATCTATTTCTCTTGAAAGCATTCTGGAAATTTGGGTAAAAGATTACTACACCTGTCCAAAAACATCTGTGGACTAGTCCAAGATCACCTGTGCAATTTTGTCCAAGATCATCTGTATTTTTTTTACTCAAATAACATCTGTCCAATATCATCTGGAAAATCAACGACACCTGACAACATCTTTCGATAGAAGTAACTACGTCTTGTAATAGACGATTTCGGAGTTAGCGTAGCCATCTTGGAAAAATATTCTTGGGGGTGCAAGTTGAACTTTGAACTTTCCGTTTTTATGCAAACTTTCATATAAAAGTATGAAAATTTTCATAATTTAAGTTCAAAATAACTCATAGTTTATTAGTTAATTCTTGGTTTAAAAATATTAGCGAAAAATGGTAAACTTGTTGCAAGAGCTTTTGCTGTTATGGAACTTATTCTTGAAATTATATCTTCACAATTTAAAAACAAAAGGAAAGGTGATATTACACCTTTTTTATGGTTTTAAATTTTGTATTCAGTATTTTAAATGGTGCAAACTATACCGTATGAAAACTTTAAATCAAGAATTCACTTTAGTACATACATTTTATTACAGTGAACATTATAAAATATTAGTTATTAGTTTAGAACTGGTTAATTAAATTGTATGTATTATAATGCCAAGTCAAAGCAGATCTTTAGTTAGTGTCTTTATTAATGACAAAAGATACCCTGACGAAATTATAAAACAGCAATGTTGAAGAAAATTTAATAATATACTTTTATTGCTTTTTTTTAAATACAAGCATTTAGTAAGTAATATCTAGTATGAAATATAATGCCAATTCATAGCAGATGTTTAGTTGGTGTCTGTAATAATTACAAAAGATACCCTGAAAAAATTATAAAACATAGCAATGTTGAAGGAAATTTAGTAATGCAAAGTTACCAACATGTAAAGAAAGAACAAATGCATGATACATTATGGTAGCACTAGTACAAAAGATTTTGTTGTTCCTAAAAACTTTTTTGTTTGTTTAAATCACTTCCTTGAAGAAAAATCTACAAAAGATAATCCTGATCCAACTTTGTTTTTAAAAATCTCTACTAACACCATAGCAACGCCAAAAAAGAGAAAAGTACGTAAAACTTCACGAAACTCAATTATTAATTCTTTAGTTATGAAAGAAACTAATTCAATGTTGACTGTGGTGATTCTGAGTTGAATTTTGTTGTTGCAGATGAAAGAGAAATAGCATCATCTAGTGAATTTCTAGTGTCTGTCCCAATGATGTTCTGCCAGTTGACACGTGAAAATGATGTGCAATTTTTTTTACAGGTTTGGTGAGTACAAAAAATTTTCAGGTGTCTTTAATTATCTCAAACAAAGCTTCTCTTATGACGTATTGGGATGGCAGCAACAAAATTTTGAAATTAAGAAAAAGGTCAAGTTCTGTTGAATTAACAGAAGCAATATTATGTCTTCTGATTATGATGTTGATGTTGAATCATCTATCGAATTTGAATTAGTTTCTTTCATAACTAAAACCTTTTTAGAATTAATAATTGAGTTTTGTGGAAAAAGTACTTTTCTCTTTTATGGTGTTGTTATGGTATTAATAGAGATTTTAAATAAAACAAAGTTGGATCAGGATTATTTTTTGTAGATTTTTTTTCAAGGAAGTGATGTGAACAAACAAAAAAGTTTTTAGGGGCAATAAAATCTTTTATACCAGTGCTACCATGATGTATCCATGCATTTCTTCTTTCTTTACATTTTGGTAACTTGTGCATGTCCGGGTATTATTTGTCATTATTACAGACACCAACTATACATTTGCTAAGACTTGGCATTATATTACATACTAGATATTACTTAATAAATGTTTTTATCTTAAAAAAAAAAAGGCAATAAAATATATTAACTAGTTTTAAACTAATAACTATTTTTTTATAATGAGATCAAACAACTCACTGTAATAAAATGTATGCACTAAAGTGAATTGTTGATTTAAAGTTTTCATATGGTATAGTCTGTACCATTTAAATTACTAAAATAGAAACTTTATTTTTCAATATAAACTATATGTGTAATTAAATAAAAAAATGCAAACTTATTTTATATTATAAAATTTAAAACCATAAAAAAAGGTATAATATCACCTTTTTTTTTGGTTTTAAATTGTGAAGATATAATTTCAAGAATAAGTTTCACAGCAGCAAAAGCTCTTGCAACAAGTTTAACATTTTTTCCTTATAATTATAAACCAAGAATTAACTAATAATCTATGAGTTATTTTGAACTTAAATTAAGAAAGTTTTCATACTTTTATATGACATTTTGCATAAAAACGGAAAGTTCAAAGTTCAACTTGCACCCCCAAGAATATTTTTCCAAGATGGCTACGCTAACTCCGAAATCGTCTATTTTTCACAAAAGCCAATAACATCTGGAAGAATTTCCTACAGATGAAAAAAAAACTTATATAAAACTAAATCTGGTTAAAATAATGCATTATTATTTAATAATTTTTTCCAGATGTAACTACATCTGAAAAAAAAAAAATCATATATGTAACTACATCTGATTAATATAACACATTATAATTTAATAGTTCTATAAAATCATGTAACTATTTTTAATATAATTTAAAAAATGTAACTACGTCATCAGAATTTACAGATGTAGTTGTACAGATGTGGTTTTTCTTAACATAATTGAAAAGATGTAACTACATCTGTAAAACTTCCAGGTGTAGTTGCACGGATGTTATTATACTTAGATAATTGAAAAGATGTTTTTGTTTAAATTGAAAAATATTGAAAAATAAAAAAAAAATAAAAAAACTATTTCTGTAGTAATCATTTACATTTTACACAGATGTTTGTGATTATTTTTTTTGCCCTTTGTCATAAAGACTTTGGTCATCCTTACTGTAGATGATACTTTTAGGTATTTAAACACTTTTTAAATACATTCCAGTTTGCAGTTGTCAACTTTATTATCGGTAAGAGATTTAAATAAAATTTATTTTTAGATTTAAGACCTGCAAAGTCTAGAGCCAAGCCAATGAGTTTGATAAATATAAAAGTCAACAATAACAACAACATTAGTAAATTAATAAATAATAAAAAAACTTGGTTAATTTGAGTAGAAAGAACACCAAAAAGTGGGTAGAAAAGGTAATCAAGTGAAGAGGTGCTAAACGAAAGCACGTAATAGAACAGTCAGAGAATTCAAATCTGATTTTAAAACTGAAAAAAATAATACTTTTTATATTATTATTAATGTTTGGATATATTAAAACAAATTACATTGTTTGCTGATTCGACGTGTTCTATGTAAACTTTCGCATCTACCCTCACTCATCCAAGCTGAAACCTGAAATTTAATATTTTCACTTCAGAATAACATTTTAAAACTAAAAACAAATTTCAAATATAACTAATTGTAGTTACTGTAAAGCCATAAACTTTAGTTGGATGAAAAGCTTGCGCAGTAAAACAGCGGTCAATTCCTCTATATATTATCTGGAAATAAATGTTTAACTGTGTTAATTTATTGTTGTAGTTCTTTAATTGTTTTGAAACATTAATTTATATATAAATTTATTTATTTATATATAAATTTAGTTCTAAAGCATAAATCAAATAAATAAATATTTAAACAAGTAATAAACAAAAAATAATGATATGAGGAGGAACATTTGCTAAAAAAAGAACAAAATTCAATACAAGTGGACAAAACACATAATGGTTTTCCAATAAATAGTAAATCTAAAAACTTTTAAGAACATAAATATAGAAAAAAATAACATCATATCCTTTTGGATTTCCTTCAATCAGTAAAGAGTGCAATAACAGCAATATGATATTATATTAGACTTTAGAAAAAATAAACTAATCTAAGCTTAAGAATGTTTTTAATAAGGAAAAAAAAGAGGAAAAAGGGTTTCAAGTATACTAAGAGCTCAAAAAAAAAAAAATTTTTTTCTCAACATCTTCATTTCCAACAAAGGCTGCAAACCACCACTATTAGAGTTGGAAGTTACCGGAAGAGAATTTGAAGTTTGTAGAGCAAGATAATGATTGACAGACAACTTAAAAGATCAGGAAAGCAAGATAAAGGAAGTGAATTCCAAAAAACTGATGTTTGAGGAAAAAAACTAGATGTATAAGAGATTTTATTGCACTTAGGAACAGTCACAGAAAAAGGATGAGACTTAACTGAATGACAAAGTAATACAAGAATAAATTTTTGTAGATGGCACAAGAATTGCTAGCTCTTTAGAGCAGTGCCCATTATAATATTTAAAAAAAGAGAAAGAGAAGCAACATTACGACAACGTGATTATGGTTGGAGGTTGGCTGCAAGAGCAGGTCCAACTATGTTTACAATTTATTTTTGCACCTAGTCTAAAAAAGGACTATATTTATATCCATCGAGGACTATTTTTATACTACGAATGCAATAAAAGGATTTAAAAATTTTTGAAAATCACACATCTCTTCATGTTTTCCTGACTCTTTTTTTCCTGATAATTTACAGACTTCTATCTGCAGTTTTTAATCTTCTATCAGCAGTTTTTAATTTACAGTCTTCTATCAACAGTTTTTAATTTACACCCTTCTATCAACAGTTTTCAATTTACAGTTTTCTTTTCTTTAACTCTCTTTACTACTTTTGGCTTCACAGTTAACTTCAAAGCTTAATATGGCTTTGTTGTGAGCAAAATAAAAAAACAACAACAATAAGAAAGAATGTAAATGATGACAAAAATCACAAAAAAACATGCATAAGCAAAGACTATAATAACAATAAAATTCCTTGCATGATGAGCCTAAAAACTTTAATAGCCTCTGTGTTCACACCTTCCGTGTTAAATGAAAAATTAGTTTTTCTATCAGAAAATTTTAATTTATGTCACAACTACTGTTACTAAGAATCAGAAAATTTCTTGTTAGATTTCAAACTAAAAACAAATTAAAGTAGAAAAACATAAAAAAACAACAAACCATGTTATCCATTCTAAGTTCATAATAATTTAATCTGCCAAGAAGATTTTTAGGAGGATCCCACTCAATAGAAATCTCTGTTTTACCATGAACATGTAACTGAGGAGGTGAGGGTGCAAAATAATCTAATAATAAAAACTTAAACAATATTATCTTATAAAATATTTTGATTTAAGAAAAAATATGAAAATGAAAATAAACTATATAGTAGATGTTAATAATACTAACAGTAACATTCAGTTTAAATCTATGCAAAATTAATAACAACTCTGTAAAAGATAAAAACATGATTTCCAGGTTTTTAAGGACTGCTGGCCACCCTGCCTTCCTTACACAGTGTATTTTTCAAACTTAAATAATATTTTATACTATGTTTGTCATAAATAGTAGTAAACTTATATTTTAGTACTATTAAAATAAACCATATATAATATATATAATATTAAAAATTTAAAACAATTTTAAAAGACATAATAATCAAAACAAAACTCGACAAAGTTCACAAATTTCTCATTTTCAACTTCATAAACTGCGTTGTTAATGAAGTTGAAAATGCTCTATCTGCTAAGCTTGAGCCTCTTTTCCATGATCATAAAGTTGCATCTCTTTCTTACAAATACTAGGAGATATCATCTCAAGCTCCATCAACTAAAACTTGTTCTTGTTTGACTCGTAATTCAGCAAAGCCTTATCTTTTTACTGTATCAGCCCCTGCATGCTCTAAAAACTTTTATTTGTCTTGTTTTTTTCTGCACTTTAACTCTCTCCCATCTTCATGTTTTCTGACGCATACAACTTTCAACTTTTCAAGTCTTCTGTCAACTTGCTTGCTATATAACTTTATTATTTTTTCAGTTTCAAGTAACATTTCAGTTTCAACTTTTAAATCCTTCTGTCAACACTTTTTATTTTATTTTACTTGCTATATAACTCTATATATATTTTTTGTAACTCCCAACTTATTAGTGGTTGCTTGCAGCCTTGTTGGAAGTTAGAGGTGTTGTTTGAGATGTTTGTTGGTGATGGCTCTGTCTCCTCTAACTGTTGCCTAGTTACTATTATTATTAGTTATTAAACTGTTATAAGTAAAACCCTTCTAAAATTTCATCTTGAGTCTAAAACTTCAATTTCTAAATTAAATTTAAACCTGAATATTAGTTATTTATTAACTAATTATTTGTTATCGGAATTGAGAAATAAATGAATAGTTTTAATTTTTTTGTTTTACTGCTGAGTCATTGTAGCCATAGTAATAAAAAGATAAAAAGATTAGGTAAAAGAAAGTGAGGCAAGATAATGATAAAGTGAGGCAAGCCTGTTGCTGTTTGGTTGCTCTCTTGATATGGTTGATTGAAATCTTGATATTTTTCTTATGATATTTATAATATATCTTGATAAAGGCTTTTGATGCTGATTTTCTCAATAAACTATCTTCATAAAATGCATCTAAGAAAAACTTCAAAATTATTGAATCATTCCTTTCTAACCACAGTATTTAAGTTGCTTTATAAAAACCTGAAATAAATTGTTATTTAAAAAATTGAAATAAATAAGTGTGTAATAAACAACAAACTTATTCATTTCAAATTTTTTTATTTATTTGAGATTTTCTTCATGTTTCATTTTTTTCATGATCCTAGATATGGAAAGGTAATTGAGAAAACCAGCATAATAGATTTATTCAAGTCTTTGATAAATAAGATGAATTTATTTTATTTGACAGTTTTTTCTAATAAGGTGTTGTTAAATATAATAATGCTTGTTATCAGACAGTTTTTTCTAATTTTTTTCTGAATTTTTATAAACCATTGCTTTAAATAACTTTCTTTTTTTTTTTCATTGCTAACAAAAATCACGAATCACTCAAAAACTCTAATTGATAACATATTTTTTAATGCAACTTCTACAAATATTTTTGCCGGTAATTTTACTTCTACGGTATCAGATCATTTACCCCAATTTTTAATACATCCATTTTATAGAACTAAATTTAATTCTCATATAAGCTGCATCTTTCGGAAATTAAAAAAAGTTGTTATGTAGTGATTTCTCAAAAATTAGCTGGACTAATGTAATCAATGTTAACGAAGGACTAATAAATCATTTGATGAGTTTTTCACAAGTTTCAATTTTCTTTTAGATAAACATGCATCATAAAAAATAGTCAGCAATCGCTGCTTCTCAAGGGGTCTCAAACCTTGGATAACAAAAAAAATCTTGACTTTAATTAAAATACAAAATAAAATATTTAACAAATTTCTTAAAACAAAGAATTCTAATAACAAACTCAATCAAGAAAAATCTTATAAAACATATAGAAACTTTTTTGTTAATCTCACCCGTCAAAGTAAAAAGAACCATTACTCTAAGTTTTTCTCTGATCATGCTAAAAATTTAAAATCTACAAGGGATGGTATAAGTTTTTTAAACATTAATTTGAAAGTTCCTATCCTTCATATCCTATATATAACTCATATCCTTCCTGCTAATCTCTAACAACTCCATGATATACAACCCCAATAAAATTTCGGAATCTTTTAATTCATTCTTTGTTTTAATTCAAAAAGAATTACAGAAAAAGATGCACTCATCCGATACTGACTTCAATAAATATCTGAAAAACCACAATCTTAAATCAATATTCATCAAACCAAAACCAAAACAAAAATGAAGTATCTATTATTCATTTTTTTAATGACAGCAAGGCTTCGGGACCTAACAGCATTCCAATACCTATTTTTAATGCTCTTGCAAATGATATCTCTCCAGTACTTTCTGAACTATTTTAAAAAGTTAATCAAGATCTTCATTGCTTATGTAACTGGTTAAATAGTAATCACATTTTCTTGAATGTCAATAAAACTAAACACACTTGTTTTCATTCCCCTCAAAAAACTATTGATAATATTTAAATTAACATTACGGAAAAAACTTTTTCATCAAAATATATAAAGTATCTTGGAGTATATCTTGATGAAAGCCTTGGTATAATTAACTATATCATCTTAAAAAGAAACTTACACAAGCTAACAGTATGCTTTCTCTAATTTGTTACTATGTTCCAATCCAAACTTTTAAAATAATTTATTTTTCCTTATTCTTTTCTCATCTTTGCTATTGTTGTATTGTTTGGAGTCAAAAAAGTAACTTTTTACTTAATAGCATTGCTAGTTTACAACGTGCATCTATTAGAATGACATTTTTGCCAATGAGATCTGATATCTTAAAAAAATTTTCTGAACTAAAAATCTTAAAACTCCATGATCCTGTAAAGTTTTACAGTTATCTTTTTGTGTTTAACTTTCTCCAAAAAAACTACCAAACTCTTTTTTAAATTTTTTTATTAAAATAAATAAGCGGTAGTGGTGTAGTAGTAGAGCGCTCATAACTTACCATATATAAATATGGTAAGTTTTCCTTAAAACAACAATTTAAAAATATATTGTTAGTGTCTATTTCTTTATAAATTCTCTCTGTATTGTAGTTGCCTTTGATATATAATTTCTTTAACAAAGGAGTGGTTTGAGTTTTGCTTTATTTATTATTTAGCTATATTATATTTATTGTGTTTTTATTGCTACATTTTACATTATTATTATATTTAACTATTATCTACGATAAGTACATGGAATTTATATTGTATTATTTTCAACATTATTATTGTTATTATTTTGTATTATTACTATAACTATTACATAAATTAATATTATTTGTTTAACAATCATCTTTTTTTCTCTTTTATTTATATATATATTTTTTTTTATCTATTTTTTTTTTCTTTCTTTTTATCATGAATTTTATGTTTTTTAGATGTCACTTGATTGACTAGTTTGCCAATGGAGTGACATCTAAAAAACATCTATTGACTAGTTTGTAACTATATGAGTGACATCTAGTTAGATGTCATTCAAGTTACAAACTAGTCAATGGAGTGACATCTAAAAAACATAAAATTCTCAACAAAAAAAAAATAGATAAAAAAAAAAAAGTAACTATTATTTACAAGTATTAAAAGATTAAAAGTAAGTATATGCTAGTTTAAGTTTAAAAAGTCTATTGATGGATGCTTAGAAAGAGGTAATAAGATCTGGCCCATGTGTGAGAGCTAACTTTTCTTTTTTAGGATTATATTAAAGATTTTTTAAAAGTTTTTAGAATAAGATATGTTTTTTGTTATTTTTAATAATTTGAGAACAATGAACCTCAGCACAGGCTATTTCAAAGTGAGCTTTATGGCTTTTTTTTTTTTTTCCTAAATAATCACTTAGTAGGTGTTACTAAAACTTTTTATACTTTTAAAATATTAAAGATAATTATGTTCTGTAAAAAGAATATAAACACCAATAAAACGTTTTACCATATGATATTAAATGATCGATTAAATTTTTTTTCATTTTTAGATAAAATGCCAAATGATAAGCTTGACTAAATTTTAGTAATTTGTTGTCACTTTTTATCAACAAAAAAAATTGAAAAAATATATTTTAGATATTTAATATTAAATATACACATTGCAAGACCATTTTAACTTAAAAAGAAATTTATTTGAACCTAATTTTTAAACTTGTAAACTATATAAGGTCACATGATTTTTTTAAAATGTAAACAAAAATTTACACATAAAAATAGAAAAAATGTTATAAACCAGCCAAGTTTGAAGACCTAGACATGGACATGAGACATAGTCTGACATAACTAGAGATACAGAAAATAATTTTTTGATTATTATATGTATAAAGGATTTCAGTTTTGATAATTTGGTGCCGTTTGCAATAAATTTACGATTTTGATTTAATAGTGATTAAATTAAAAATTGAAATGCGTTAAAAACTAACTTTTCTTCAAAAAAATAAGCGAAAGGCACCAAAAATCAGATAGAACAGACATCGGTTGATAAGTTTTCCAAATTTCAACATAGCTGTCAGACCATTTATTTGTCCCAAGCCAAATTTTTTGTAAATATCGCAAAAAACAGAAAAGTGATCACTAAATCATTGGCAATATTTTAATATTATTTATTTTTAATCAGTTTAATGTAATTATTTATTTAACATAGACAAATATTGATCTTTTATATTTTTGTTATTTAAAATGAAATCGTTTATAGAAAAAAGTATTTTTATTTATTTTAAAGTTAGCAAATTTTTATACTTTTTATGCGGGAATGCTTGTTTTTTTTTGATAAACTTGTGACGTCAGGCTCATTTTTATATTGAGTAAAACATTTCGTGAAAAAAAATAAGCATTTCGTCTTTGGTGTAAATTGTAACTAACTTATAAGTTAATGCGATTTTTAAAATAATACTGAGTGAAACAGCCATGCGCAACAGACAACATCAATTTCTTGCAATTATACTTTAAATCAAGAGTAGGGAAAAAAGTTGAAGAGTAAGAAATGAGAAAAAAACTTGAAATTTGTAAATCATATCAATCAGGAAGATGAAGTTGTTCAAAAATATTTTCATAGTGATGATATAGAAGAATCATCCAGCTGGACTTGTTTTGCTAGAATTTATTCAATTTTGTCAATCTGCTGCTCAGCAGGCTCAGATGGACTTCTATCTTGCATCAATACCCTCTGCACTGTAACTTTATTAAATGTATATTTAAACACATTTGTGTCTTCACTTCAGACTCTTTTGCATATCTTTACTTCAGAATATTGTGTCTTCTCTTCAGAATTTTTTGTTGAGTTGTTGTTTGAAATTAGGCTTAGTTTAATAAACTGTAAAGTAATGTAAATACATTACAACAACAACAACAACAACAACAAGATATTTATTTTTCTTTTCAAAATTTACATATAACCATATAATATCAATAATAATAATATTATCTGTAATAATACAAACAATATAATTATAATAAAATATAACTAATAAGAATAAATATAAATAATTATTTGAAAAGGAAGTTGTCACTCAAACAGAAGCCTGGTCAAAGGAGTGACACCAAATAATTATAATAATAATAGTTAAAAATAATAATATTATCTATAATACAAATAATATGATGACATGAGTGTCATTCATGATCAAAATGAGTGACACCAATTAACTATAAAAATTAGTATAATAATAAAATAATAATAAAAATAATAAATATGAACCGAAAATCGCTAAGAAAATAAATAAAATAATAATAAAAACGATAAAGCGATACCATAAACAACGATAACGATAAACAACGATAAGTTAAATAATAAGACAAAAAATATGAAAATACTTCATAACAACAGAAAATAAAAATAATAAGCAAAACAGAACAAATAAAAAACAAATCTTACACAAATGAAAAGGCAAAACACAAAAACGACAAGATGAAACACAAAAACGAAAAGGCAAACACAAACACTTCTACAAAAAAATAAAAAAAAATTATAAAATAAGGACAAGCATTAGTTATTTTTGCGAAATAATTGAAAAAAAAAAGGTGTAGAAAATTTGGTAAAATAGAAAATTATTATTTCTTTTTTCGTTAATTTTTTTTTCTTTCTTTTCAAAATTTCTGACTTTATTTACTGATTAAATTTGTTGTTTAGTTATTAAAAATTTTGTTTAAATTTCTTTTTTCTTTTTTCTTTATCTTTCCGTTATAAAAACACGACCACTATCATTGAAGACTCTCCACGAATCCAAACATGGATACTATTACAAACATGGAGTTCATAGAATATAGAATTACATTGATTTGTATAAATGAAGTGATGAGTATTTATGTAAGCACAGGCAAAAAAAGATGTAATAAATACCTGACCAGAAGTTAGTAATCCGGCTCAAACATTGCGGGATTTCCTAATTTTTTGCTGGAGCCGGATTTTCTAAAATTGGCTGGAGTTGGAAATAAAATCCCATGCAGCCCTAATATACGTTTATTGTTATGATCTATTTTAATTTAAATTGCAAACAACTTTAATGGTAATTAAATTTTAAAAAATTTAATTAACATGAATAAAACAAATAAATGTTGTGATTTGGTCAAAACATAAAATGTGTTTCATATTTTGCTTTAATAAAAAAAAAAAAACTCATTTGCATTTCCACTCTATTTTGATAAATAAATAATGAATTAAATACTTCTTTATTGTTTTGTAAGTGCACCTGAAGTATTATAGTGAATATTTGAGTATCCCCTCACAAACTATTATCTGACATTTCTAATATTTAGGTGTAGTGTATTTTACAGAAGAAGCAGAAATATTACGAAAAAAAAAAAGCCAAAAAACAACAAAAAATTATACATAAGGACTTAGCTGTGCTTGCTATAAATGAAATAATGACTTTGCTATACAATTATTGTATGTTTTATTATATTTTTTAAAACTAATAAAATTTTTTTCATTTGCGTCTTTGGTGTAAATTGTAACTAACTTACAAGTTAATGTGATTTTTTTAAATAACAAGAAATAATAAATAATACAAAAAACATTAAAGAATGTAGATAATATTAAATTTTTATACCTGATTCTGGAACATTTTGCACCTTCACTTGAGTAAAACATTGCAAATGAGTACTTGCAAAATATCCATCCACAATAACACTTGAGCCATGCAACTTGAAGATTTCAACACCATCTAATATTTTATAAAATAAAAATATTATAAAGTTATAAAACATGCTTTTACTTTTATGTTTCTACCACACACAAAAACAAAACAAAAAAACACTGTTCAAATGTGACAGAAGCAAAATGGGTCAGGGTTTGATAGGCCAAAAATTACAACAAGAGTACATTAGAATAAAAAACTGTGACATGATTGAAAAAAATTTTAAAATGCTATGATTTTAAAATTTGTACATTATTTACTTTAACAGATTTGTATTTTAATCTTGTAACTCAATCACAAACATTGTATTATAACTTACTAAATAATATTACAAGTGCACAACAAAGTGCAGATGGATTTAAAAACAATGTTTGTAACTAAAAAATATTACAAGAAAGTAAAAATAAGTTGAAGGTAATCAAAATAAGTGAATGTAAACAAAACGCTTTTATCAAATACTAAAAGACAAGCAACCTTTGACTTTGAAAGGTAGAGGAGGTTTAAGTAGATCTGCTATACTAAATAAAATACTGGTCAATTAGCCTAAAATTTCTGAGTTAAAGTTATATGTTTTATAGATTTCCTAAAAAGTAAGGAAATAAAATATAATTATAAAAAATACAAAAAACAAATAAATATATAAAAAAATTAAAATTACCATCATCGTCAGTTTTATATTTTTATTATCTTTCAACATAGATCATTCTAGTCATATTTTTAAAACCCAAAAAACTGTTTATATAAAATATCTGCAAAAAATCCAGAACTTGTTTTGCCTTATTTACTTTTTAATTTTGTTTTGACAATAACAATAACAATAACAATATATATTCTGAAATAAAAGTTTAAATTACATAGTTGTTTACAAATAGTACGAGTATTAATCTAAGGAAAACACCAATTAAATAATAATAACAATCATATAATAATAATAAAGTAAATTAAACGAAGAGGATTATAATCATATCAATAATACTATTAAATATAATGATGACAATAATAATGATTATATTAGTAATTATAATAACAACAACAACAATAATAACAATAGTTATAATAACAACAATAATAATATTAATAATAACAATAAAATAACAACAACAATAATAATAGCAATAATAATAATAGCAATAATAACAATAAAATTAACAATAATAATTACAATAATAATAATAATATTAACAAATATCACATATAATTTTGTAAGAAAGAGGTGAAATAGAAGTTAGTTTAATGATGAGATAGATGAATAAAATTTCTCTTAGTGTTTTCTTGCAAGGAAATTACATTATCAAAAGAAAATATTATTTAAATAAGGATGAGTTTAAACTATATTTTATATATTATAAACTATATACTGTGATGCTTAAACATTGATGAATAATCAATAAATTTAAACTTGATTTTACAACAAATAATTTTTTTAAAATAACTTTTTTGTCAGTAAGGCTGCAAGCAACGACTATAGTTAGAAGTAATTAATTAAATAATTAAAAATTGTAAATAAGTTTTCTAAGAGAGAATTTTTATTCGCAAGACATAGATTAGAAGACATAGGGAGAGGGTTGTAAACAAATTTTCTATGCGAGAATTTTTATTCGCAAAACATAGATTAGAAGACATAGTGCGAGGGTGTCCATTTATCAATATAAGAATGTCAATAACATTGTGATTGTGATTATTAATTCAGTTAATAGCAGTTGATAGCTAGAGTTTTTTTGGAATCCACCGACCGCTGCAATCTCTAAGCTGTTATAAAAGGGAGATCAGATTCAAGGTTAGCTGATTGTTCTAAGCAATCTAAGGAAGAACTTTTGTCAAAACAGGAGTATAAAATTGACCCGACAGCTTTAGATATAAGATATCAGGAAGATCATAAATGTACATAAGAAACAATACAGAAACAAGAAAGGTTGTAAAAAATTAGAAACTAGATTTGCACACAAAAAGGTATTTTATCATTTGGCAGCATATAAAAATAATACCTATGATTTTCTAATAAACTGTTTCCATATAATATTTTAAAAAGTTATAAATGCTGATCCTCATCGAAACGCCAGTAATAATAGACGCGACTCTGAGGAGATGTTTATTACTTATCACTACACTAATTATGTTTACACATTAGCATTAATGTTTTTTTTCCATTATTAGTCCTTTCATTGTCGTTAGCATATTTTTAATTTGTTGAATAGTTTTTTGTTTTACAAATTTTTGACTGGTTATGTATTTCTTGTATATTTTAGTTCATATTGGTAATTATAAAACAATTTTTTTTTTATTTATTTATATATATATATATATTTTATTATTATTTGTTTTTATTTGTATTTTTATTTTTTATTTTTTATTTTTTATTATTTTATTATTTTTTTTTTTTTTATTTTTATTGTTATTATGGTTGAGTACTGTTTTGGTTGTATAGCTTGTCTTATTTATTTTTAAATATTCCTCTATTAATCTTTATTTTTGTCTTGACAACTGTCAAAAATGCTTTGTCTAATAAATAATTCTCCTTTATTCTAATGTACTTCATTTCTTCCCTCAGGCGTTCACTGCTCGTGTGTGACCATTCGGCGAATTTTATATGCCAAAGTTTTTAAATAATATTGGGCCTAGCCCGTAAGGGTTAGTGTTACGGTCATCGAGCACGACTATTTTCCTAATCGCAATTACTTTCACCGCGAAAGAGGATTTTTGTCAGTGGAAGATGCCTTGGCTAGCTTTTTAGTCATAAGTCAGTTATAAATCCATGCATAGGTGTTTAATCCATCATGGTTTTCTGGAGTATGGCTGGGCTTGCTTGGTTTGGTTCACAGACAAATCTTTTACGCTGGTTACTAACAATACAAGACTCTACTGAACGACATAAACAGCACAGACTTACACATTACACCTATACACCCTTATGCACATACAGCCTGTTTACATCTTTTGCATGCTTTTTGTTCTTTCATAGATAAACTATCTTTGTTTGAACTCATCCTTATTTAGATAATATTTTCTTTTAATAGATATGTTGTTGAATTGTAGATACAGATTTATATGTTATCTATATGTGTTTATCATGTGTGATTGAATTTTTCATTAAAGGATTCATATGCATATACATATAAGCATAAGAGCGATTCTTATAAACTAGCGGCTTTCGACTTGTTTTTATGAAGTTTCCTTGTTATTTTGTTATGGTCTCAAAGTTACATATAATTCGGACCGTAGAGAAAACTTTATTTTTCGGAAATTTCGATTTAGATATGGTCTCAAAGTTACTTTTAATTCGGACCGTAGAGAAAACTTTACTTTTCGGAAATTTCGATTTAGATATGGTCTCAAAGTTTCTTTTAGTTCGGACCGTAGAGAAAACTTCATTTCTTAACAATTTTTTTTTTCCCGCTTTCTTCATCGTTTTTATATCACGATTTATATCATTGTTATATAACCCACAACTAATTTTTTAACCACTCATTTGGCTTAAAATTATCTGGTTTTATTACAATATTTAGTTAGTCTTATTGCTATATTTATTAATATATTACTTATCTCCTGATAGTATTTAAAAAATTATTGATCTGATAAAAATATGAAAAAAACATACTAATCTACAAAAAATGTAGATTAGTATATTATATAAATATATATAAATAATTATCATTTATCATATTATTATATATATATTCCAAAAAAACGACTTCTACTTTCAAAGTGATAAGACGTGTTTTTTCAGCGTAAGATTTAAATTTCTTAAATCTATTATAAATTCTTAAATCTATTATTAATATTTTGTTTTCCTAAGCTATTATATTGTCTATTTCCAAGCTTATATTTCTATTTTTTTTTTTTTTTTACAGTTTTATGTATCCTTATTTGTTTAAAAAAAAAAAAATAATAATAATAATTTGTCTATAACGTTTTTTGAATATATATTTTTATTGTATTTTAAACATTTATTTACTTTTGCTCTATTTTTATATTTTTCTTGCTGTCAATTGCTTAATAAATTTTTGTTATTTATTATTATTATTGTTGTATATTATTATTATTTTTATATAATCCTATTTTCACTATAATCGATACAACGAAATCACAGTATTCATGATTAAACAAGGTGAACTAAGTTGTTTGGAACTATCCGATATTATGCGTGATCAGAATGAAACCACTCAACGTCTTATAAAAAGAGTTGAATTATTAGAATCGAAAAAAAGAAACCGAAAGTAGTTCAGCTACATTTTGGTCAAATCTTAATAATAAAAATAAATTTGCAGAAAAAGCTTTGTAAACTTGCTGTAAACTCAATTACAAAAACTATGTTATCTGAACCGAAAGAGAAAAAAAGGCATGAAAAGAACATTATCGTTTTTGGAATTCCAGATAAAATAATTTAAACGAACTTGAAAAAAACAACGACGACAAAAAAATAACTAACAAGATAACTGAGGAAATTGGAAAAGGCAATGAAAAACCTATTAAAATAATAAGATTAAAAAACAATTTTTGAAACATTGGAAACATTTTTTTTTTGTTTAAAACACCGATTGTTATTTTTTACATACAGTTTCCAAATCATATTCATTTTTACTATATTTTAAAGTTCTAAAATGTACTTGTAAAACAAAATTAAAAACAAAATAAAATTAAAAACAAAATAAAATTAAAAACAAAAATAAAATAAAAAACAAAATGGTATTTTATTTGCGCAACTTTATTTAAATAATCGTCTAGACCACGTGTATTCTGATTTCTTTTGTTATAAGTTTTTCTTTCAAAATATTAGATAAAATAATTTTTAACCTAAATAATAATGCACTTTTATTTATTTACATTGTAAATATTACAATGTAAATAAATAAAATATTACAATGTAAATAAAGAAAATTAGTAACGCATTTTTTCTCTGATTTTCAAAAATGTATTTTTTGGAATTGAGGTGATCTTATTTCATTATTTATATTTCCATTATAACATCCAATATATATTATGGCGGGGGCTTAAAAATTAAAAAATTAATATATATTAATTTTTATTTTACAGACATACATGGAAACATAATTAACTTGAATGTTCTTAAAACATTTTGCGGAAGAATAAAATAGATATTCGCGAACAAAACCCGCCAAATTTG